CAAATTCTACAGAAGGTCTAACGACATTTTTCTGAGGGAGGTCCGGATGCAGAGGTATCAGGTGTTGATTCGATGACTTTCATGGAAGGCGAATTCCTTTTCTTCCATTTACCCTCCAATGAAGATGGAACCTGACAGGAGGTCCCCTTTAAAAAGGAGAATGGCCCAAACCACCCCCTGAACCCCCTGAGCGGCTCCATGTTTTTTTGGCACCCAAAGGCAGACCCAAGGGGAGGGATCAAACGGTGAGACACATCAGGCCAGCTGCGGCTTCTTTTTTTTTTGCATGTTTGTTAGAACCAAATGCGAAGCATTTTTTTCTAAAATACACATTTTGTTTTTTAGAACTATTTTTTTTCTGCCCGAAAACGACACCGCCAGGACTTGGACCAGGAGCGAGGGCTAAAGGCTTCGGGCTGGGCTCACAGGCTGGTGTCGTGGGCCTTTTTCTCATTAATATTATATTTTAGCCAATGAATTGTTTACAATGTTATTTATTGATGGATTAAATGGATTGTGCTTTTGGGGTCAGTTTGGTTGGACATCGATGGACTGCGCTGATTCGGACTGATTTTTGGGGCTGGTTTGAACCTAGGATTCCGCTGGTTTCAGCATTCCAATCATTTGCCAGTGTTCCATTTTACCAGAAGGAGATTCATCGAATACAAGACACAGTTATTTCAGGACGGCCGAGGACTACTGTTGAAGGCGGCTTTGGTCTATTTGATAAGCCACTACAGATGGCTGAGGAGATACAGGCCAACGCATGCAGGGTAAGAATTGACTTGCATTTGCGTGTTTTTTTTTTTTTCCTTCTCAGTTGCAGCTTCTTGTTTTGTGTTTGTGTTGCTTCCTGTTGTTGCTGCAAGATCAATGAGTGAGTGTGTGTAGTGTAGGCGAGATAATGTTTTTCTGTGTATACAGGAACAAAGCTATGCACATTCTTCTTGAAACATTCATGTATCACTTTTGGCTCAGAAAACTTTATTTAAACAGCAACCTCCACGATTTGTGCTTGTCTGCAGCAATGCAGGAAAGACAACGCCTCACCCATCGGGCAACTGGATCTTGTTTGCAAGCAAAGGGTTTTGTGTGTTGTGCCTTCCAGATACAGCATGGAAACTGTGGGAACAGTGTTTTCCTTTCACCAACACACCGGCTCGTGTCAGCAGGACCTTCAGCACTACCTGGACCGGCTGACGAGTGCCGCCTGATCCGCAACAAGTGGAGACGCGCTTTTTTTTCTCCTTGATTCAGAAGGTGCCTTGAGCAAGGGGCCATGGCACAATGGCAGCGTGCCTGCAACTTCGTTCTTATTTACATGCTGGCCCAAAGGCAATAGGTGGGTTTACTACTTGTTTCAATCCATTGTGCTCGACCGTCGGCACTCTTGCAGGAGTTTCACTGTTTTCAACCAGTCCTTGATCCCTTTTCATCTCTTGTTGTCATGGTGTCACCTTTACTCGAAGGCGACGGCGGTTGGAGAAAATCGACCGCCCGTTGCGAGCGAAAGCCGCTCTTCACACGTCAGCTGGCAGGTCTGGGCCCCGCGGTTCCGGGACGGGCTGCCGCTGCAGGAGATCCCCAGCCATCGCTCAGAGGAGGAGTCGAGAGTCCGACTGGTCCGACGTGTCCGGCGCCGGGCGCCGGGGGGTCGGACACCTGGTTTGAAGAGGGACGGTGTCACGGCCCTATGGATGGAAAACCAGAAATCGCACCACTTGGAAACCATGGTTGAAACCAGAACGGTTGTTGGCACCTACAGGGAAAATCATGATTCCAGGATTGCTGAACAACCATTTTGTGTTGGTTACAGGGGGATCGAATCATTGCAGTTTCTGAACGGTGGTGTCCACAGTATGAACCATCCGGGTGTTTCCTTTAAAGGTTGTACAGGGATTCATTGGCTCATTCCCGCCACTTCTTTTGATTCCCTACTGAGAACCAGCAAGATGTTAGGGTAGTTTCCGTGACTCAGTGGATGGGCAGGGGTTGATTCATCCACAGTACCAAGGGCATTCCCGTCAAAGTGAGAAAGCAGTAACCGGGATGGACATAACACTTTAGCGTCACGGAAAGGGTTATTTCCCACGATCATGGAGGGTTGATGGGGGATGGATTTGAACTCGCAGCAAGCTCACAAAGCAAAGGTTTGACTATCTTTGAAATAAAGGTGACTTAGGGGTTCCTCAATTCACGTCGGCGCAACAGGAACAAGTCTTGCTGTTTTTTTGGGTGGAAATGAGAAACAGTCTACAGGACAGTGGGCCCCCTCGCACCCACTTTCCTGTAGAATTGGACTTCCCTTTTACCCGAAGGCTCTGGATTGGTTTCTTAGCCCCTCAACATGGGCGGTTTTTGAGGATCTTTGGGTTCTTCATAGGCCATGCGCGTCTTAGGGTAGCTGGTCCATGATCGCGAGGAGCTCACAGACCTCTGGGGGCACCATGAGGAGGAGGAGTCGGAGCTGCGGCTTGGACGGACCGCAAGGGACGGTTCGTGTCCGGAGACGAGAACCCGACCAAAGTGGCGACCAGAATGGCCCGGGGTGTCCTTTTGAATAACCCTCCCCCCCAAAATAATGATAATACAAGCAAACTAGCAACAAACAAACAGCTTTAACAAGAAACAAAGAAACCACGGTCGATCGCAGCGAGCTTCTCAGAATTTGAACCCATTCCCCACTACTACCCCCCCCCAAAAAAAAACAATCACAACAAAAAAGAAGAAGAAGAAGAAGAAGAAGAAGAAGCAGAAGAAGAAAAGGAAGAAGAAACCAAAAACAACAACTATCAGCTTCTCAGAATTAACAAAGCCCGCCTGCCGTGGGTTTTTCGGTTGTAGCAGAATTAAGCCCGGCCATGCCAAGGTTTTGCGGTTTTAGCAGACTCAAACCCCAGCCCTGCCGTGGTTTTTTGGGTTTGATCCCAGGTACATCCCGGGCAGCGTGGTGTGGATCCACCGGGTGCGAGGCCGCCTGGACGCCGCGCTGGTACCCTGCACGGCCGCGCCGCTGCGGCGGCTGCTGCTGGACAAGCGGATGATCGAGGAGCCGGGGAGCCGACCGAAGAAAAAGAGCGATGGGCCGGGGGGGGGGTACCTTTTTTATTATTATTTGTTTTTTTTGGGGGGGGAGTATCTCTGGTGTGGGTTTTTGGGGAGTTTTTAGGGTGTTTTTTCGTGTCGATGTTTTTTTTTGGGGGGGAAGGGGGGGGGGGGGTAGTTTTTTTGTTGATGTTTGTTTTTTCTCTTTTTTTGAGGGGGGGGGGGGGGGAGAGAGGGGTTCCTGGATTGGGTTTGTTTGAGGAGTTTTTAGTTGTGTTGTTTGTTGTTGATGTTTTGGTTTTTTCTAGGTGTTCTTTTTCTTCTTTTATTTTTGGGGGGGGGGAGGGGTACCTGGGGTGTTTTTTTTTGGGAGAGTTTTTAGGGCTTTTTTTTTTTTTTTTGGGGGGGGGGGGGGGGGGGGGGTAGTTGTTTTTTGTTGTTGTTGTTGGTGTTTTTTGTTTGTTTGTTTTTTTTGGGGGACATTTCAGAGAGATGGATCTGGGGGGATTTGGATGGATTCTAGGGGTATTCTTAGCAGTTTCTTTTTTTGGTGTGGGGGTTCTGGAGGGTTTTGGGAGTTTAGGAGTTTAGGGGTTTTATCTCTTCTTTTCTTCTTTTGGGGGGGGGAGTTTGGGGGTTCGAGGCGTTTGTTTTTTTTGTTTTACACGGGGGGGGGGGGAGGGAGGGTTAGGGGGCTTTGGCCTAAGCGATGTTTCCGCCTGATCGGGTGGGTCTTGGTAGGGAACCCCTTTTAGTTGGTTTGAAGAGGAAGCCAAAAGGAAGACCATCGTTTTTGGTGGTTTTACTTGGTTTTGCTGGTCTCCAATTCAAATGGGCGGACGTTTTTGTTTTTTGGTGTTTTTTTTTGGGGTGGTGGTGTAGGGGGTGTAAGAAGTGCAAGAAGGGGTGGTTCAATGGGGTTGGCTGAGTTGGTTGCCACCTTGCCACCCAATTGAAGTGTCAACTGAAGGTGGTTGCACCCAGCAAAAACACAAGTGCGCGTGTGTGTGTGTGTGTGTGTTCCTTTTGGTTTCCCTTTGAAAAAGGTGCCCTCAACAAAACCAACGCACACCCAAATCTCCAATAGGAAGCCGAGAAGCCACTTGAATCCATTGGCCAGGATCACTCTGCACGATCCATCCACCAGGCCGGCCGGGTGTGTGTGGGGGGGGAAGCTCGCGGACTTCCGCGTTGTCACGGCACAGAAATCGCGACTTCAAGCCTGGCGAAACTTCAGAAGAAGAAACCACCAAGGATGGTTTTTTTGGGTTCAGTCCCTCCTTGCCTCAGCAAGGCGTGGCGCACGCCTTGCGACGGCCAATGCTTTGCAAGTGGGAAAACGCCGTTAGGATGCTTTGAATTAACTACACAACCTTAGCGAGATACCCATCCGAGGACATTCCGGAGAAGTTGACATCGCATTAGGGATGCAGTGGCTGAGCGGGTGGTATATTAGCCAATATGTTTCAAGGTGGACAATTGACCGGCTCACGGTCGTTTTCAACGCGGCATTGTTTGTTGCTTCCCTTGAAGCATCGCTCATCCCATGGTTGTATCTCCTTCAACCGGGAAACAGGGTCTATCTAAATGTTGATGTCCCGCCTGTCGATGAAATTACGCATCGAGATTGCGTTAGAGTCTAAATTGTGGTTTTTGAAGGGAAACCACCCCACAGTTTATGAGACCAATCGAAACGGCCCGTCGTTTTTGGATTTTCTTCCAGGCCCTGCTTGCGGTGGAACGTGCCGCGAAATCCGACCCTTCGGACGTGAAGTGGCAAAAGTTCTGCGACGCGGGGGAGCGGTGCCCCTGCTGCGGGAGCCGCTACGCCTCTCGGCGAGTCGGCTGCTCGGGAAAGCCCTGAAACCAGGTTGGATCAGGTTGGTTTGGGAGGCCAAAAGGAAAACCAGACGCGTTTTCCGGGTCTCCCCTCTGTTGACACCCGGAAAAGGTCCCGTTGAGAAAGCACTGGTCCTTGGAACTGTGCTTTACCTTCCAGCTGCACACATTACCATTGCCCTGCAAAAGACTTGGGTGTCGGTTTCTTGGCAAATGAGCGAACCTGAAATGGGATCTGTTTTGCCCCAAACGGAGAACCGCACACATTCGCATGACTGTGTGTCAAACTGAAAGTGACCTCCATTTAGGGGGTTGATCAATATTCCTTTCAAGGCCCCTGACTGACCATGGCGAACTTTTCCGGCAAATATCATTTTAGTGGTTGTTCCCAATGGTCATCCCATGTAAAGCCAGACCCTTTGAGCACTTATGTCATTTCCCGTTTTTGGACATACGGCTGGCTCGTCTTTTTTGAGGTTGCACCCACCAAAATATGAGATTTCCTTTTGGCTTGCCTTAAACACCAACCAAAAGCGGGTTGCCCCCAAAAAAGTTGTAGTTGTCCTTTTAGTTTCCCAAAAGGTTGGTTCCCTCCAAGAAAAGACCACCCCCCCCCCCCATTTTTGCGTTATTTTGCGAATCCCAAGCTTGCCTGGCTTCGCTGTGTGAGCGAGGAGTGGATGAACACCGCGCGCAGCGGCAAGATGCGTGCTCACGCGATGACCAACTGCAGGCGGTTGGCATCACTCCCCGAGTTCCGTTTCGGACTTTAAACGAGTTCCGTTTCGGTCTTTAGTAGTCACTGTTTGGGTTTGGACCATTCTAGTGGCAAACATAAAAATATAGACTTGTTGCCAATCCACTCGCGAAGTGGTTTGTGGCGACTTCCTCTTTTTTCCCCGCCGGCAATTGATTCTTATTCTTTTCTTTTTCTTGGGGGGGAGTGAGGGGACACCTGTTTCTTTCATGGAGCCTGCAAAACAGATCCTGATTTTTTCAGCACCCCAACCCGAAAAAAGATTGCTTTTCCCACCGCTCCCTTTTGGCCGCTGAAATCGAATTCGGTCGGCCGGTCGGCGGCCGTTGCCAGGGTCTGTGGGCTGGTGGTGTGCGTGGGTTGCGCCGCCTCTCGGCGCTCCTTGCCGGAGCTGTCCATGGAGGCGGCTTGGGGGGGGGCAGGGGGGCGTGGGTGGTTTGCCAGGTAAAGGCGGGAAAAAGGGGGGCAACCCGAGGTGGGGTCAGTAGGGGGGAACAAGGGGATGAATCTCGGAATGGTTGAGGTTTTCCTTTTTGTGTGAAGAAGCCTTGCAGTTTGGTACCCGGGTACCTCCTTTGTGAGAAGTGGCAAACCTGAACTCCTTCAAGCACCAAACACCTGCGAAGGGGAAGGCCCCAAATGACCAAGGCGAATCTTTCCCTGAGATGTTAGACACATCACATCTGTATTGGCGTTTTTTTTTTTTTTTTGGTTCTCCCGATGTTTGCCGGACCTTTGGATCAACCGCGATTTTTCGAGCCACGCAAACAAAACAAAATGTTACACAATCAACAAAACAATCCATATATTATATGATGTAACGCCCCGGTATGTAAAGATGAATTAGGGTTGCGTTCCGCCAGATTTCGGCTTGCGGGTGATGACCACACTGGGGCACTCCTCCGAAGGAGTGTGCCAGTGTGATCTTTGCCTGACCCTTAGCAGGGTCAGGGACCTGTGCCGGGGGTCCAGCTCCTACTTTTTCTGGAGCAGGGCCCTCGAGCGCGTTCGGCTGCTGCAGGGGGAGATCCTGGACCTTCGGGACCGGGATCACTGGCTGGCGACCCAGCCCCCTGCAGCAGGCCCTCCTGAGGTGGGAGGGGTGGGAGGTGCTCCTGCGGAGGGAGCATCTCCGGCGGGAGCCCGAGCTCCTGAAAGGGGGACCGGGTGACCTGGCAGTCCCCCCGGCCTCCGAGCAGGGAGCAGCTGCAGAGGCTGCTGAAGCCAAGGAGGCTGGAGAGGAGAGAGTGAAGGAGAAGAGGAAGAAAAAGAAAAAGGAGGAGAAGAAGGAGAAGGACAGGAAGAGGAAAAGGTCTAGGTCATCGAGAGGGGGTCGTGAGGAGAGCGTGGAGGTCACCAGGAGTCCGGGGGGAAAGCAGTTGAAGAAAGGAAGGGAAGGCTTCCCGTGGCACCAGGTCGGAGGCTCAGTTGGTGTCAAGGAAGAACCCCCCGTGAGTGAAGAGGAGGAGGAGCATCCCAGGGAAACAAGGCACAGGACCCCCACCTCTCCTGTGTCGTCAAGCAAGGAAGAGAGAGCTAGGAGGCAGAGGAGCACTTCAAGTGAGGGGCGCATTAAACGGCTAATTGCGAAAAGCAAGGAAGCCACTGAGGAGCGGGCTGAAGGTGAAGAGAAGAAGGAAGTACCAAGCCTGGAACAGGACGCAACTTTATGAACTTTTTGCAGAGACCCCCTTTATCCTTTTCCCGAAAACGAGGGTCTGACGACGAGGAGCTCGCTTTGGCCAAGAAATTCTTGAACCATGTGAGTTTGAAGGGCGATATTTTAGTTCACTCGTCTGCTGAGGAACAACTGAAATTTCACAGGTTGCGGGCGAGCATCCCTTCGCAGTGTTGGAGGTGGGTGACTGTCGCTGGTTGGGGTTGGAGAGGAGACCCCGAGCACATCAATTGCCTGGAGCTTCGGGCCATTTTAACAAGTGTCAGGTGGTGGATTGAAAAGCGCAAGGTGACTAGAGCTAAATTCATTCACTTGACGGACAGTCTAGTATGCATGCACTCCCTTGCCCGAGGGCGTACCAGTAGTCGCAAACTTCGCAGAACGTTGACCCGCATTAATTGTCTTCTTTTGGCCTCCCGTTGTTTTCCTGTGTGGGCCTATGTCCACACATCTCAGAACCCGGCCGACCGGCCGAGTCGGCGGAGTGTCC